AGACTCCAAATTCTACTTATTATGACAAATATGGTCCAAGTGGTACTTTTACTAAAGCAGCTGAAGGAAGTCAAAAGGTTACTGATTTGTTTCAATCCAAAGAACCTGAAAATTTACCTGGTGATTGGGAAATGATTATGGATGATGAAGATGATGAAGATAATGAAGATAATGAATGGGGGAAAAAAAATATATCTGAAAAAATAGAATTTTTGAAAAATGAATTAACAGATGGTAAAAATAATATGGCTTTTTCTGAATACAATAAAAAACATGCCATTTTTGAATATTTAAAAAGATTAAATAATGGAAAAAGGAAAATAAATTTTAGCTTAGAAGCAGCACAAATAGTTTTTATTGACCCTGCACCATGTAAGTCAAGAACAGTAAGATATTGGGCATCATATTGGTTATCAAATAAATCAATTCCTATTAGTAAACAAGGTAAGCATAAAAAAATTATCAGATTAATTGATGATGAGGATATTGCTGAAAAATCTCATTTATGGATAAGAAGTCAAGGAGGAACAACAACACCAACAAAGTTTAAAGAATTCATTGAGCAAAATTTGCTATTAGATACTGGAACTACTAAAAAGAGCATGAGTATTACTACAGCCTCAAGATGGTTGAATGTATTAGGTTATACTTTTAAGCAAAATCATCAGGATATATATTATGATGGTCATGAAAGGCCAGATGTTGTCAAATATAGAAAAAAATTTTTAGAAGAAATATTTAATTATGAAAAGTATATGACAACATTTGATGATGAAACCTTAGAACCAATTCCTCCAATTCTTAGTCCTGATAAGAAGGAAATAATATTAGTTACTCATGATGAGTGCATCTTTTACTCTAATGATGGAAAGAGAAGAGTTTGGGCAAGGGATGGTGAATTGCCATTGAAAAAAAAGGGCAATGGAAGATGTATTATGGTAAGTGAGTTTTTAACCGAGATTCATGGGAGATTATGTTTAAACCAGGATCAAATTATAGATAACCCAGATATTCCTGAGGAAGCAAAAACAATTTTGAAACCAGGAAAAAATCATGAAGGCTATTGGAAAAGTGATGATTTAGTAGTGTGAGATAGTAAAACGAGGACCGATGGAGAGGTCCCGTGTTGCCGATCCAACCAAACCAAAATACTGCGGAAGTCACGTGAAAATGACATCATTTCTATTTTTATTTAAATTTTATATTTCTGCGGAATGACTGCGCCACATATTGCGCAGCGACGCAGTAACAATTACGTCTATTTCATATTATTCATATTTCTATATTTATATTTCAAAGACTTAGTCAACTGATGTCAATATTTATTTTTAATTATTAATCATAATTTGTAATGCTCAGTTGACCCAAATATTTATTTAACATTAATAAGCATATTTTATTGGATTAATTAGAGTAAAAGTCATGTTATTTGTAATACCCCAAGAGGTATAAAAAGACTGGGTTTTAAACCAAGTCAAAATCATGTTCATAACATTCTAATAATTATTGATCTAATAATTAATACTTCCTAACAATATTGTAATAATATTATTATCGCTAAATAAAACACATAACATATTTTACCCTAAATAAATCTTGATCTATAAATTAATTAATAACCTGCAAAAGGAGACCTTTGCTATCACTAGCAAGAAACTACCAGTTAAGTATTGAGATACATTCCAAGGGGACGCCTTTGGAATATAAGTAATTAAAAAGAAAAGAACCTAGGTATCCTTTATCCAGGGGGATAAAGAAGTTGACTGTAAAACAGTAGCGAAGGACTGCTAACTGTGTGTCAAAGTAATTAGCCTTTTATCCAGAGAGATAAAAGAAGTCAACTGTAAAACAGTAGGTAAGAGACCTAGCTGTGTGTTGAATTGATAAATAACCTGATAAACTAGGAAACTCGGATTGCACGCTCGCACTATCATATGTGATGAAAGTAGTAGTATTGGTATATCTTTGTTTACAAAGCTTAATATTGTAAAAAAAAATTTTAATTTTCAAATAATTCAAATGCTTTTTATTCTAATAAAATGATTTCACATTAAAATTTTAAATGTTCACTTTGTCTGGTTTTGTTGCAGCATACCCCATATAGTATTACAGTGTTACCATTACAAAAACAATAACCCACTATTCTTATCAGAGAACAGTGGCCCATAGACTTCCTTTGCTGTTGTAAACATTTTTCATAAAATTCTTATAAAAATTTTACATAATTTTTCATCAAATTATACTAATTATACTTAATGATTATTACTATAGGATAAAATACATAATTCTTGCTGAGTCTATAGTGCTGTGACACTAAAAATAGTGTGTCATTAATTTGAGATGATCAACAAGGGGAAATTTTTTTAAAAAATAAAAAAAATAAATCAGTGGTAATGTCTTTAGACACATACAATGTTATCAGAGATTTGGCAGAATGTGCAGTGAACTTAGCGTTGAGTGAAATAAATGATAACAATTGAAAACAGAAAGTGTTGGAAATATCACCACAGGTTAGCAATATATTATTGAGATTTGCTTTTTTTGTTCATGTGTAATGATGGTAGATGAATGATTTTTGTTCAACAGATTATTGCTGAATGCTGGGGAATGCCAGCCCAGAAAAGTGACTTCTTTAGGGACACCTCAAGTTGTTGAGGGTACTGCTACCCCCTTGCAAGGCGTAATTATTTGGTCAAGAGAAAAAACTTCTATGATTTACTGAGAGAGAGAGAGAGAAAATTGTGCGCACATGTATATATTTCATGTGAAACTAACCTATACTAATGTATCATCCACCATAGATGCAATCTGGACATGACAGTATAGTTGGGTTGAAAGCATTAAAAGCATTGAAGACGGTATTATATTCATAATTCAGGTTAAGACTCACATAATGAATGTATAAACTAATTAAGTTATATAGGAAAAGGAAACAGTTTTGGATAATTCACATGAGAAAATAGAACAAAATTTTAATGTGTTGAAGGTGAAGCTTGGTGTAAGTGTTTGACTATTTTTGTAGTATACAAAAGATTTTACCCATTGTATGAATTTTATATCAGTTTTATTTAGAATCCAGAAACCACTACAGATGTATCACTCTATAACGCCCTTAAGAAAAATCTGGAAAATTTTGTTGTACCTTTCAAACTCACTTGGTGGGATCCAGATGCAAACACAGTTCTCAGCAATGGATCAGTTGTAGTGCAGAAATTGAACTATAATCAAAAACATGATTTCCTGGTAATAATAATTTTGTATGACTTGCTATGATATTTACTGTTTCCACTTACTGTATATTAATTTATCAACAGGAACCATGTGAGAACATGAAGTGTGTTATGCCAGAATTGCTTCTTTTAAAATGTGATAACTTTGTTAGAAATTTTTCTGCTTTGAATATAACAAATGATATCATGAATGCTGTACATGATAAGACCTGGAAGGAGAAAACATCTCAATTGGAAATAAGAGTGGAACAATTGTTAGAAATAATGTAAGCACTTGAGTAAGTTAGTTTCTTTGTATATATATTTCCTGATTTTTCTTTTGTCACTTAGTGAGGAAGTATGGAATAATCCGGCCTTTGAGGACAGCACAACCTGTAGTGAGCAAAGTGAAGGAACATACATTTGTGATGTAGTAATGCCTTTAATTTGGGCTAGTTTGGGTAATATGCCTGGCAGGGGTATTTGCTTAAGCTTGTAAGTGGATTTTTGGAATATCCTCTCACTATTGTTATCTTTATTATTTAAAATTAATTTTATTACAGTGCAGAACACCAAAGCTTGACTAGTAAAGCTTGAAGAAATTACACAATAACAGGTAGAAAACATGTGGGGAAGAAGCCTGATATCATGGCTTTGATGAAGTATCAAGGAAAAATTAATGAGCTAATGTACATGGAATGTTCACATGTTGTATGTGATAATAGAAAAAAAGATGATGATGGAGTTAAACTATGGTGAGAAGCATTAGATGGCACATCAGGAAAATGCTTTTGAAATTATACATAGATCCTACATGTAAACAGCATATAAACACCATATTATGATTTGTATATGATTGACATATGTGTGGCTTTTTCATAACATGATTTGCACATTATATGGATAATTCTTATGTATTATAAGTATAATAAATTACACTTATAGTATCTGTGAACTAATCCAGTATTGTACATATAGTTCTCATGTATATATTCTTCCATGTCATGTTGACATTAGTATATGTTAAAAAAACAAATGATTAGTAGATGAATGACATGGAATGAAATAGTTTGTTAGTAATAAATAAATAAATAATTAATTAATTATAAATTGTAATAAATTTCTTACCAACATTGACATTAATATATTCATTAAAGATATATGTTAAAAAAATAAATGATTAGTAGATAAATAAATAAAGAAAAATAAATATAAATCATTAGTAGATGAATGAAATGGAACAAAATAGTTTATGTTAGTAGTAGATAAATAAATAAATAAATAATTAATTGTAATAAATTTCTTGCCATGTTGACATTAGTATATGTTAAAAAAACAAATTATTAGTAGATAAATAAATAAAGAAAAATAAATATAAATCATTAATAAGTAAATGAAATGACTTTGTGTTAATAAATAAATAAATAGTTATAATTGGAGAAAATAAATTCAAATTTCTTAAAATATATGTATATGTTAAAAAGATTAATATATAAATAAAAGAAAATATGAATATAAATCATTAGTAGATGGATGGTGTGGAATGAAATAGTTTGTTAGTAATAAATAAATAAATAAATAATTAATTAATTATAAATTGTAATAAATTTCTTACCAACATTAACATTATAATATATTCATTAGATATATGTTAAAAAAATAAATAGGCTTGTGTTAATAATAAATAAATAAATAAATATAATTGGAGAAAATAAATTCAAATTTAATAAATTTCTTACCAATGTTGATGATATTAACATAGTATTCATGAATAAAGATATATGTTAGGAGTAAAATGATGATTACTGTATAAATATTAATGATTTAAAATATAAAAATCAATCATTTCAACTCTATTAATAAAAATAAATATAGATAATATATTAAATTCATTTTACTGTGTAATTTTCCATTAAAGATTTGATAATCCTTTCATCCAAACATAGGTAATCCAAAAAAGTATTGATTATAGCTCATACACATGTAAACGCTTTATTGGATCCTTTAAACAAGTCTTTGTCTTTCTGAAAAGCTTCTTATGTAATATTTTCTAAGTAAGTTCTATCATTTTCCGGCTCATTTTTTTCTAAAACTAACAATGTAATCTTTGTTGCTTCACTATAAAAAAGTTAAATTAATTAAATAATTCATTAATACTGGTGAACAATGATGATAAAAACAATGGTAATGATAAATACTGTTGTATTATTATTCCAATGTAAATTTCCCTCCACATTCTTAACGTATATATACATATTTTCTTTAAAGATTGTTACAAAATATATCAATATTTAATCATACCAATATGGATAAATTTTTGGTGATCTGTGTTATAGTAAAATTCGAATTCCGTTAATAAATATTAATATCTTTTTAATTCAACTAGAATAGTGAGTTTTGGATTATATTACCACTATCATAAAAACAGCCTTATGGATGAGATGTGTTTATGCCTAAGAAAGTTAAAGGTAATAATAATTTAATGGGTTAAATGGACTCCTACATTGATAAATGAGTATACAAATCAGCAAATAATTAATTTTTTTATTGTTATATGAGTCAAATCTGAAGTACAAGAATAATTCAGCAAACACTCATAAGCATAAACCATACCAGAAAACCATCCTAATAAATAGAGTGGTATTTTCATTTCAATTGGTTAAGTATTTTATTAATTTAATCAAAATCAAGGAATTTTAATGTGAGTAGTTGATATTTTAAATTGTTGATGATCTTTAAAGTCTATATAATAACAATATGCAATCTTTTAATATGACAAATGATAGAACTTTAGCTTTCAAATGAGTTTAAGATCATCAACTTATTCCAAGGATTGGCAGAATGCAAATTTTTAGATGCAAGTCAGCTACATCCATTATTTTTATAGATCTCAATGATACAATTATTTCTAATTACCTTTTGCACAAAATGGCATGACATTAATTTGAATCTTGATGCGAAAGATGAGAAAAATCCTTCACCAGCACCATCCCAATTTGTGCACTATTCCAAAACAATTGCAAAAATAAAAATATTTATGTTTTCTAAAGTAACCATGAAAGGTTGAAAATCTACATCTTTCAATAATTCATTTGTCACTTCTAAATTATCAAATCCTAATATGACATTCCCTGAATATTCTGTTCCTTTCTTATTTGTAAATTTTTTATACATATGATTGATTGTTGCAGAAGGTGCTTCACATACAATCGATCCTCCATCTAACTCACAACTAAAGCCAGCTTTTAAATCTGTATCACGTTGACGAATTATTCATATTGAAAAAATTATATTAGATAGTTCCACTTGCACTTTCATTCCTATCCTATATGGTAAAGCTTTATTTTTTTGTGTTGGCCTGGTCCACCAATTTATGGCAAACAGTGTTGTGACCCGAAACTCTGAGTTTAGGGAAAACTAGAAACAGAAACTAACAGAAACCACCCGAAACTAGTTTAGGTTAGTAGTTTATGTTTAGGTTTAGTTTTAGGTTTAGTTTTCTGCTTAGTGTAAATTCATTTTCCGAAACGTTTCGGGAAGCCAAAAGAGTTTCTGGTCACAACACTGATGGCAAATGGACCATAATGAATTTCTGGGACAATGGGACCACAAGATAGTAAATTATAAAAATTTTTTTGTTTGTTATGATTTACTGTAGTGTTAGAAAATTGTGATGTAGTCGTCATTTTGAAAAATAAGAAATTTGTTATCCCTGCCGATCTTATATTTCAATTATTTAACCATTATGGCTTAACTTCCTTGTCAGTTAATTGCAATCAATTCATAATAATTCAGTGCTTGTCAATTAATTAATTTACAAAATTTACTTTAGTTCTTGATTACTGCCTCTTTCTTGCACCTAGACGAATCTGTAAGCACGCTTAATGGTATCAGATAACTGTAAACAGATAAAGATGCTCTTTTACAAAGCTCAAAGGTTTTTGTAAAGCTTCTTTTATTCACTTGTGATCAATTGATTATATTTACCGACCAATTGCCAAACTCGTTTTGGCTTATTACAAAACGACTTATTAAGTAGCTTGTTTAATAGCCTTACGTTTACAATTACAATAACATTAACCTTTAGATGATGCTTCGTTAACATTCACTAGTTAATCAGCATTGATCCTAACTTTTGCCTATTCACCAAAATAGATTACTAATTGTTGTTAGCACTCACTAATTGTATCGATTTCTTTATTTGTAAATTGTCACATAGTATTTTGTCAAGAAGTATAAATACTTGAATTTCCAATAATCTTCTAGCAATAATATAATAATAATATCTTAACACATTGATAATAAAAATAACACTTTACATAAAATTACCGTAAAGTCTGGAAAGATAGCATCCCCTTTTTACATATGTGTAACTTTTTTTTTATATTGACGCTCAATTGTTTTAAAGTAGGGGTGCTATCTTTCGGATATGCTAATCTTTCCAGACTTTATGGTATTCTTTGATTGTGAATGAAGAAGCAAATGCTCGGAACCTTCAATTATTTACTATATTACCAACTTTAAAGAGAGAGCATGATAAGGGAATTCGATACGCGTAATACTATTTTTTAGTTTCTTAAAGATAATCGTTTTTACAATATTTTTACAATAACTTTCACTAGTATTTGTAAAAAAAAAAAAAAAATTTGTAAAAACGGTTTTTTATGCTTAATTCTTTCACTATTAATTACTATGTGAAATCTTTGTGAATTCCATTTTTTCTACCAGTACTCTTTTGACAATAATTTTGTTGGCCGGAATGTTGACAATAATAAAAACTTAACCATTCCTCAAAACAATGTAATTTTGACGAGTATTGACAGTAATAATAATTATACTGACCGGAACATAATCAATGACAATAACAATGGATTCGTTGACCAGAATCCAACTAATGCTATGATTTAAATAATTTTTTCAATGATTTGTTAAATACAACATGATAAAGAGGCTGTGATTATTTACAAGCAAATTGTGGTTATAGTAGTAGCAATTAATTTTATTTATTAACAAGAAAATCAACATACATAACATTATAGAAAAAAATGGTCAACCAATAAAAATTTGATTTGTTCTTTATTTATTTTTTGATCTTTCTGTTGCATTTGTTTCATTTATTTTATCAACTTTACCAACTTGCATTGAAGAAGATAAGTCCAATGCTGATTCTATATCTGTTTCATGAATAATAACTTCTCGATTCAGGCCTGTCTTTATTCTTCTACATAATTGGTTTGTTGTTTTCCGATCAAATTCAAATCTAATTCATGGTGGTGGTTGGCTTTGTTAAGTTAAAGTGTTGTTTAATTTGAGCATTATAATGTTTTAAGATTGGTTTTTCTTCAATGTGAAGTTTATCATTTATGATTAATTTCGTAAAAAAATTAATATCATGGACTAAAGATATGCGATCAAAGGCAATTATTTTTAAAGACAATGTCATAATATTTGAATATAACATTTAACGAATATAATTTCTAGGCTATACTGAAACCAATGTATTATTATAAGAATCATTTCACGACATTATTTATTTATTTGACATAAAAAAATAAAAAAATATTTTTTTTATTTTCCCAAAAGATTTATACTATATATATATATCCAAAGAAGGATTAAAGAATATGTGCATTATCATATAATTATTTATGTCATTATTGTTTTTGCGTCTAATAAAAGTTTCTCAAATTCAATGTAATTATATATATATGGGATGGAATTTATGATGATTTGGCGGTGGTACCATAAGTGATTAACGAAGAAGGTATATATTTGTAATTATAGAAGAAGGTGCATGCGTAACTTATTAACAAATTACAAACTTTAATTCGATTGGTTTAGTATTCTACTCGAATTTCTGAGCCGGCTAACGTACATCAAATATTTCCAAATCTGTTTATATTGAAATCATATCAAATCGTTGTTTTATTTCACTTACTCTAATGTTATAGTAATTATAACAGCAGATAGGTTGATTACCGACATTATTGTTATTTTATTATTGATGTGGTATCCAATTTATTTGAACATACTTGTATATTTTATAAATGTTTTGATTAATGTGCTTTTCATCAATGTTTTCAATCTCTCTGATTCTGAGCATATTATAATCAAAATTCTCTTGAAGTCCATTTATAGTCATTAATATATGATTTCTTTGTTTATTGTAATACAATACGTCACGGAAAATAATTTAATGGCGTTTTTCCATATTGTGGTTATTATTGCATTTCCTTTTCTAGTAATATCTATTCATTTATGATGTTTACTTAACCTCTGTGTCATAAGGTACTTCCTTACAAGCAGGTTGTTTGATATTTCATGAATGCTGTGGAATTAGTGAGATTTCAGACTTCAAAAAAAGACAAATATTTTTACGAAATTCAAATATTCCCCACTTTCTTCGAAATAGGGATGTCATCGAACAAAGTTGAGTAAATTTCGTGACACGTTAACACTATTCTGGCCTTATTTTTGCAAGTCATCTGTTTTAAAAATATATCTAAAGGTCAAATTTATCTCTAAACGATGACAACTAATCAACAGCAATCATTTTATTTATTATTCTTGCCTCACTTTAAACCTATATTATCATCTAAATTTAAAATGTGAGCCTCACTAGGTCATGTTATATTTATACTATTGCATATATGATATTCCTTTATATCTATACTTTTTTTAAATAAAATTTATGAATTATCTATTCGAATATCTATTTTATGTTGCTCGAGTGATACCAACTTGTAGTTTTGATGAGGATTTTTTAAAATGATATATGCGTAACACGAACTGCACATATTTCAATTTGATAATTTTTTTTACATCTGATGATAGAGATCATTCATTCATTGAATTGATGTAAAAATGAACGTGAGCGATTTTTGAATAATTTTTTATGGTACCATCTTGGTACCAATTACTTTTTGTTGATAATTATGATTATTATTATTAATGCCTTTCATTATATCCGAAAGTACCTCTCGTTGTATCGGTGCTGTTAGCAATTATTATTTTATCTATTTTAACTATACATCTGATTATTGCTAAGAAAGTAAGTTGTACGTAGTAACAATTTTGTATATAGTATGTATCTCTTTGGAAGACTAGGCGAATGAACAGAATCCTATCAACAGAATGAAGGTATTTGATTTTTTTTTGACCATCAACTAGTAACCCAATAACTCACTGGTATTCTGATATATAAAGTCAACTATACACCTGGGTGATATGCATATTCCATAAAGTATAGTCGTTTGGTTGTATTTATAAATCTACTTGCAGCAATGAAGTTGATTCTGTTCGATATCTTCTTGTTTTGTTGTTATTTTTTCTGTCCATATCGTTACTATGTTTGAAACTTATTATTTCGATGACAAGAGACCTGGTCTTGTGTTTGATGTGTTTTTCTGATGAATTGGCAGTTCTTGGAATGAAAATATGCGATGGAGTAAGATTATTATAATATTAACTGCTGCATCAAATTTTTAATTATGTCTTTTTCTTAAAATTTCGTAGATTATTTACACACGATATATAAACATTGATTGATATATATTGTATTAAAACGAAATGTTTAGATATTTTAATCTCTAACGTGAATAAGACAATTGTTTCGTTAAAAAAAAGAGTTTAATTTATCAGTATTATTTTTTTGTAATAATTGCGTTTTTATGTGTTTCATGTGTTTCTATTGTAATGAAATACTTCTCAAATGAAATAAAAAAGATTATTATTATTTTGATATTGATAATCGATTTGTATATATTTGATCAACCAATTAAATCGCGTGATTTAATTTGTTTTTTTGATTGACAAAGATAAAATATTTTTTTTAAAATACCGCAATTAAAATTCCATAATCTTGATTCGATATCACGCGCTTTATTTTCAATCGGTTTCAACCTAGGAAACAACGTCAAAAATCCATAGAGACCAGTAATCTTAGATTAGCATGTTTCCAATATGAATACAAATATTTGCCTTTTTATTTGCAACTCGTTCACAACTCACGCTGATGTATTGCTAAGAGGTAATTAATTAATGATCTCATGTTCTTGTGTTTCATAATATTAAATTGAGCTTAATGACACTTGATATTAATTTTTCACATACTTGACCTGGTATTTCAAACAATATTTTTTACGAAAACAGTGAAACAACTTGAGAAATTACTTTGTAAATAAATTAGTTTGTTAATTTCATGCTTTTTTAATTAATTGCCTCAATTCATTTATGTCTAGCAAAATTAGCTTGGGAATTGAAGACCATAGTCAGGAAATTGTGCATAATAACAATGATAATAATCGCTGATTTTGGAGAAAAGTTGATGCAAAAAATTAAATGATTATTTATTAACATAATTTACTGGACAAACAAAACAAGTTTTATTATCATTTCGTTGAGACAACTTACGTTTATTGATCAAACCTGCCTATATAACTATTGAATAGTTGATAAAACGTTCATTGAATACATTTTACAAACAGATCCGTAGATCTTGTCCTTAATACTTACCTCGATTACCTTATATATACAAGTTATTGAATAATTGATGCAAAAGCTTCGTAGATCTATATATTGTCTACACAAAAAAAGCATTCTAACTAAATATGGGTATTAGTCTTCAAATCAGGATCCATTGTTCCCAAATTCTTGTTTATATTAATACTTTAATTTATTTATTGTTGACAATCAACATTAAAATCTTCTTTTTTGAAAATTGCAATCCTTTTGATTTCAATATATCTCCAGAAATAGCTAGCTAGCTAGATTTAAACATAAAGTTTGTTGCATCCATAAACATAAAGCAAGCTTCAATTCCAAGAATTTTCTTCCTCATTCTCGTCTTTTAACACACATTTGAAACTAATGATTTTGATAATTTAGATTTTTAACAATATTTTCTGTAGTTTCAGATGGATGGCTATTCTTCCTCTGTGTTTATATCTTATGAAAATTACAACTTGAGGCTTTTCACAACGAATAATAAAGCCATCTTTTTATAATGTAAAAATCTTTAGAATGTGATTTTATTATTATAACTAAATTTAGAAAGAAGGCAGAATTAGCGTTTCATAAAGTCGATAGGATAATGTCCATGCGACTATAATAATGTGATTTTCACTATGAACAAGATTTATTGGAAAATTATTTAACGTTCACTGTACGTATACAATAAAGAGATTTTATCAATAAGTTTACTGTAGCGAGCAAAATTTATTTATTATATAGTAAACTGTAAGCCATTTCATTGCGACCCCATTTAAGGAAACTGTTAAAATCTTTGCTGATAAATGTGTATTCGCTAACGTATTAAGCATTGTCGCCAAGAACTAGGATTATTGTTCGTAGAATTTCGAGAATAAAATAAATATATTATTATTACTATTATAATTAAATAATATTTATAACTTTTAATTTATCTAATGAATGGTATATATATATAATATTTGCACAATTGGTAATCGATATTCTTAATATGGAAGAGCTTGAAGAGCGAGTTTTTGTGTCAATACGACTCTGATAAAAATTATGATCACTAAATAGAGCACTGGATCCACATATAATATTATGTACGCTAATGCAATTATCAGTATTAAATCGGAGCATTATTTCTCGATTTTCGAATTGTTCCCGGTATTGATTGACTATGTGGTAGTAGATGCAGTAGAGTACATCAAGGTTTTTGCGACGTAATAGTGTGAACAGAGAGGAATAGTATATGGTACAATATTATTACGAGCATGTTATAATTAAGTAATAGTCACAGTTCCGTATCTTGAACGATCTCATCAACTAATTAATTTAAACAACTAATGCTTATTTTGACATTAAAGATTATAATTTAATAAAGTGAACTTAAATTAATTAAAGATATTATTCTTAATAATTGGTGTAATGAAATTATTGACTTGTACTTTTTCGCTAGCATTAATTCTTATTAGATCAATCCACTAATTAAATTTTTAGTGCATTGCATTAGATTGGTGCATATTTTTAATACTATTAACATCAATACTATTATTATTTGTTCTGCCGTTTTGTAATGAATGGATCGACTAATTTGTCTATCAAACGCCACCCCTCAATCTATTAAACTGTATATATAATAATAAAGTTTTTTTTTTTTTGTAAGAAATGAAAGTTTCGAGTGTGTGCTCATTCATTTATTTTCTATAAATGGCACAAGAGTTTGGTGATCCGTGATGGAAGTGCATATTGCATTAGTATAAGCCTTTTACTTTGATAGATTGAAATTCTGTGGATTTTCGAAAGTTCTAAATCATATTAATATGAATTAACTTGAGAATAGCCTTTGTTATTATCTTTGTTAAAACCAAATACAATAATGGCACGTCGTAATGGATGGTGGATAGATGGATGAACACAAATATCTTTAAAATCTGACTTTTTAAATATAGATTATAATAACAATTGCCTTTTCCAGTGTTATTATTATGCATAATAATTTAGATTTTTTGTCATACTCTCTTTTAATATACAAAATAAATAAATGAACTTTACATAGTAACACAGGTGTATCGGATTTCAATGAGCTGATTTTTACTACTATTACAACTATTACTATCGTTATTAACCCTGAAAATTTACTGATTGGTACATAATAATAGTAATAGTAATAGTGTCTGATTTTTTTTTTTTTTTTTCATGGGCAGGCATGAAACTTTTTTCATCTAATTATAATTCCTTTTGATTGGTTCCTTTGGAACTACGTTGACTCAAAGCTTTTGTGTGTGTGTGTGTGTGTGTGTGTGTGTGTGTGTGTGTGTGTGTGTGTGTGTGTGTGTGATTTTTTGACTGAATTGTCATGAATCAAGAAATTTTCTAGTTAGGGGTTGTCATATAAAAATTATGTATTTTGTTGCAATATTGTCTTGAAACAAGTTTATTGCTATGAACTTGGGCGGGTACAAAAATAATAAGACGAAGATCTGGTTCCGCCAACGATTTCAGATCACAATTTC